TTCTATTCTATTCTATTCTATTCTATTCTATTCTATTCTATTCTATTTTCGATTCTATTTCCTATTCTATTCCATTCCCTATTTTATTCCATTCCATTCTAATTCTATTCCATTCCCTATTCTACTCCATTCCTATTTCTATTCTATTCTATTCTATTCTATTCTATTCTATTCTATTCTATTCTATTCATCATCATTGGCTTCCGCCGTTCAAGGGGCTTACCTCGAAGAACAGAGCTCTCCTGCGAGGTCTGCACAACCAAACTTTCAGGCTGACAAGTTTGACTCCGAGGAGAAAGTTGCTCTTGCTTCACTCCAGGAAACGGCACTGGAAAACAAGAGTGTTACCCCCGCTTTATTTTTACTCTACCAGGAACAGAAGAAGAAACTGCTTGGACGACTAGCTGGTTTCAGCACAGGGCTAGTGTCCCAACTAGATCCTCCCCTTCTTTGGTCAGCCGTGGCTCTGAGAACATCTCCCCACCACCAGGTCAGCACCAAGATCAACTCACCCAACTTCTTGGGATCCATCGTCAAAGGCAGAGCTACAGAACCGATGGAGACTTTCGCATGCTCTGAGCTGAAGGGACCATGGAGCTGTAGAGGAATCCCCTGAAAGATCCACCCAAGAACATGAGCAATGTTGGGGACACCACTGAATTGTTTACTGGGGCATGCAAAACCTTTGCCGGGCCAATTCTCGAATACAGCTCGTCCGCCTGGAACCCACACTGTATATCGGGCATTAACACGATGGAGAGGGTTCAGAGGTCTTTCTGGAGAGGAGTTCTCCACTCCTCCAGTCACCACAGAATCCCCTATGCCTCCCCAGGCTCAAAATTTTGGGCCTGGACAATCTGGAACTCTGCCGCCTGCGGCCCGATCTGAGCATAATTCCCCAAATTGTCTTGCTACAATGTCTTGCCTATCAACTGTCAACTCATAAAATATTTCTCTGGTTCTTTTAAGACTTGCCAACAGAAAGAGAGGGGGGAGCAGCGTGGCAGCTTGCAAACCGAAAGTGCATTCCATAAATGTTTTCAAAGATAGTAACTAGGTGACTGAAGTTTGGACCCCAACATGAATGACATCAAGCTGGCCACACCCTCGCCCCTCTGGCCGTGCCCCCCCCCGGAGGTCAAACACAACCCTTACGTGGCCCTCAATGAAATCAAGTTTGACATCCTTAGGTTAGCGGGAGGGTCTCAGAAGGTTGAGTTTTATTTTATTTTATTGATTTGATTTGTCAAACGCTTACACTATAATAGAAATAAGAATAAACATCAGCATAAATACATGAAATAGGTACGAATAATTGGGGACAATAGGACAGGGACGGTAGGCACGATTTGCGTACTTATGCACAGTTTTATACCTTTACCTGAGAGATACAACCAGGTGTTCTTTCAAGAACAGAGGGGTGCTTGTTGGAGATCAGAGGAGGCGGATTGGAGATGGCTGACAACCGTGGTGGGCCAGTCCGAGAACTTTCGTGAGCATTCAAGGAGATGGGATGAGCTGCTGCAGAGAGAAAATGAGAGAAAGTTTAAAACAATGTGAGAGGTAAGTGAACTCGGTTCTTCTAAGAAAGATCTGCCTCCTTGATTAGGAGAAACTTGGGAGTTTGAACGTGCGCAACCCCAAACAACTCATGACTGTCTGCAGCCCTTGTGTCCCACCAAGCCAAAAAAAGTCTCCCCTGGGCTTAGCTTTCACAGTCTTAATTCTTGCTGTTTTCCGCTTCTGTCCTGGATCTGGAATTGGCAATTCTTCAACCCAGTCTCCAGATTACAATCCATTGGGCATTGCCAAGGCTGGACAGTCAAACCCCACTCCCAAGAGCCAAAAGCTGGACTCACCGGAGGGGTTATATTGAAATGTGTGAGACTCGGTGTGTGGGGAGGTGCGGATCACGTCCCTCGAGGCACCTTGGTAAGGGAGGACCGGGGGCCAACAGGTTGGGGTGGCGGGTTCTCCCGCTTGCTTCTGTCTATCCGGAAGCGGCGTGAAAAGCACCGTTTTTTCTACCCGAGGAGAAAAAGGATAAGAGAAGTGGATGTCAGAGGGGCTGTGTTAGGAAGGTTGTATTTTGGGATGGATGGAGATAGGATGGGATGGGAAGGATGGAAGGATGGGCTGGTAGAAGAATGGAAGGATGGGTGCATGTATGGAAGAATGGATACAGGGATGGGATAGACAGACAGACCCTGTAGATTGATATTGTAGATGATAGGTATGTAGGTAGGTAGGTAGACAGAGACAGACAGACGATAGACCGACAGAGAGATGATAGCTATAAATAGACAGACAATGAATAGAGAGAGATGATATAGACAGATGGTGATAGATGATAGAGATAGAGATAGGCAATGATAGATAAGATAGATAGATAGATAGATAGATAGAT